CGGTAACGTAGATAAGACGAGAGAGAGAGAGAGAGAGAGAGAGAGAGGGGGGGGGGGAAGGAAGGCAGGTGCCCTTAACGGGCGCGGATGACAAGCGGCGATCGTTGTCATTCCGCGTGTAACATCGATCCACGGCAAATCGTAAATCGTGACTGGAGGGGAAGTGTACACACAATGGTAATTAGGAATTCTTATTTAAATGGAGCATCAGATAAGGGCAAGAACAGCTAGATATATAGCGATTCCACGTGCGACGAATTCTTAACTGTATCTCTCCAAGCCCCATCCCCCACCATTCCTCCCTCGGTTTTCAAAACCGAGCTCTACCAGCAACGGCCAATCCGCTTAACTAAGGTCCTATCTGATCTTCGTCCAATCTGTTTAAGTCATTTTTCAGTCATTTTTGTATTATGTTCGAGGGACACGTTAATTCCATCGAACAATCGAGTCGAAAGATGAAGAAAAGTACGAATATATATATGTATATATATATATATATTGTCGAATACTTGTGCGTTGTATTCAGGGGATTGGAAAACGGGGTAAGGAAAAAAGAAAGAAAGAAGAAGAAGAATTTCGCAAATGGACGAATAATTAAAGGCGATTTAGATCATGATGCGAGTGGTACGGTTCACACAATTACTTAGCTGTTTTCATCTGCTTCTCAATAGGACGAGGATGGTGTGGGTAGACGAGAAGACGCGCATCGTGCACACACGTACACTCGCATTCATAGGCCCCCGGCCTGTCATACTCGTCTCCGACTCCCGTGGTAATAGGATTCTCCATTCCCGTGGTAAAGTTCCCATCGTCTGGGCCTATCGCTCTTCGCCTCTTTTCGAACACGCAACCTCACCCGTAGATCGTGTCAAAAGATTCGCGACACATTAGGTCGGACGAAACAATTTCATTATCATTCTTCTCTTTTTTTTTTTTTTCTTTGCGAATTTTAATATTAAGTCGAAGAAGAGAAGAATGGAAGAACAGGATGCGAATAGACGAAAGCTTCTGGTGTTTCGCGGTATTTGGAACACGAGTTGAAATATTGGAACGATGGTCTTTTCCACGGAATGCAAATACGTGATCGAGGAATGCCAATGATCCGTGAAATGCAAAATCCAAACGTTCTAAACAGATACAGTTTTTTTTTTTTTTGTAAAATAATCATATAACACGTGTACGCGTGTAAAGAATAGCCAGCTGCTAATAGAGATTTCACTTCGCTTAAATGAAACGCATCGATTCGCGCAACTAGCAATCAATAATCATTACCGTTATAAATTGGAAAAATTAATAATGATATATCAACGTTTCCAGCAAACATTTGATACTTTTACATCGTTAGCGTCGATAATATAAAATCTATCCGTTACACGCTTCTCGAAATTTAAAATTACGAAGTGGAATATATCGATCGATCGATCGTTGTTCACGTTGCGTTCGAAAACGGCATTTCGGCGGTTGGGAATCGATAATGAGGGACGAGGCGGTCGAGTCAGCCGTGTCTCTCTGAAGATTATGCAGGAACTGGGCCAAGTCGAAATTTGACACACTTACCGGCCGCGTGTTCGAATTCGAGCGCCACCTCGAGTGCACGCGGGGTGGAAGGTCGGTGTCGGTGTGGAGACACGGAACGGTCGGAAGCAGTCCGCGATGGGTCGCGTGGTCGCGCGATGAAACAGCAAGATATTCCGAATTCCCGTTGAGAAATCGAAATTACGTCGAATCCGCTCGTTCCAACTTCGACACGCTTTCGACCATTTAAAGAAAGTTCTGACGCGCAAAATTCTCCGATCGAATCCTCGAAATTCTCGAAATTAGTTCCGACGATGGTCGAGAACATTTTCGACGATGTATATCGAAGAATTGTAAATACAAAGATCAGAGAGATTAATGAAGAAAAAAAAAAAAAAAACGGTTTTGAAAAAATAGTTAAACTTTCGATTCAATTGGAAATATTTTGTTTGTACGTCGAAGTATTCGAGTAGTGGTTACGAAAGATTCCGGTAGAAAAAAAAAAAAAGAAAAAAAAACAATCACTGGAGCATTGCCGTCATTCTAACACGACACGCAATTGTTATGTTAATTACCTCGCGCGTTTCATCTATCGAAACACACCGTTGCCCTAGAACCTTCAACGTGTGAGAATTAGTTCGTTAGAATTATATTCAACTCGTAACGA